ATTCCCCACTGCTCAGTGGTGATAAGCGCCAAGTTATAGGACGACATTTTGCAGTCTCCACCGGCGAGTGGAGTGAAAAATTCTCGAGAGGGACGTTAAACAACATATAATCAGTTAATCGATTGCTGAATAATTCCTGTAATTGAATAAATTAATCTTTCTGCTGGTAAATCTCGATAGTATTACTTTAAAAATCAACGACTTTACGTTTTATGTGGTACTAACTTTTAGTTCATGACATTTTTATAACACCATCACAGTTGTGCCAAAACATAAACACAGTGAAGTTTATGAGAGTACGGTGTTCGTTCGTCTGTTGGTTTATTTATGATACATATGTAGCTCTTATGAGTGCCAAAATGATTGATCATGAAAATCAAAGTACCTTAAGTACTGAAAGACCTTTTTGCATTTTTTTTCTTTTAGAGTAGATATGATTTCTGTTTTTTGCAGAGAAAAAAAAAGAAAATGCTAACAGATTTAGAAGAACGGAAGACTTATTTGTTGCCATGGCAACAAGATTCTAGTTATTATTATTATTATTATTATTATTCCTCCCAAATTTTGTGAGCGCGATTACTCAGAGATGGCTGGATAGATTTTCACAATTTTTCTCATGTAAGTAGGTTGATATATGAAGTTTATATAAAATTCCGTTTTTTGAAAAATTCACTTCCGGTCCGAAGTTATGGCCGATTTTCGAATTTTAAAATGGACTTTTGTCCGGCAGTTTTCTCGGAAACGGTTTGAGGTAAAGATATGAAATTTACAGGAGTATTAGATCATGATATTCTATTTGTTTTGAAGTTGTTTTCGTGTGTTTCCAGTACTTCCTGTCCGAACCGGAAGTGAATTTGTTTTTGGTCAATTTTTGATTTTTTTGTTTTTAGATATTTTTTCAAGATATTCTTATGTAAAACAGACATTTTTCTACAAATACTAAATATATAATTTGTTTTTAAATCAGATTCCGCATTTTGTATATTTTCGGTACTGAAATTTTCTCTATTTACGTAGTATGTATAAGGTGGGCAAAGAAAGATAACTCTGACCTGTGAATGAGAATAGAACTTTCGAGATAAAGGCGGAAATAGTATTGATGACGTTAGAGACATATATACGCTCTCCAGATCAACATATTTACACATTAAATATTCTCTCTTTTGCATGTTACTTAATTCACTATATGCATGTTAGTTTAAATTTGGCTGTGTAGTGTTAGTCTGTATATTGAAAGTTTTTGATTTACAAATTTATATCTAAAAAAAATATCCGTTCTGTGTCAACTAAGCACTTTGAAGAAAATAATATTGTACGCAGTATACATTACAGCGATGTATATACAAATTATTCTACAAAAATACTAAACATATTATTTATTCAATCGGATTCTGCATTTTGAAGATTTAAGGTTCCGTCAATAAATTCATTTTCTCTATTTACGTAGTGACAATGAGCAAAGATAGATAACTCTGACTTGTAAGTGGGAATAGAACTTTCGAGAAAAAGGCGGGGGTAGTATCCATGACGTCGCAGACGTCTATATCCACACTTTTCACATAAAAAATAATTAGACTTTGAGTTTCCATATCCACTTCTGCATGAAAGATTACGTTGGTTACTGCTTTCAGTATATGCATAGTTTAACGTTGTCAGCGTAGTGTAAATCTGTAATGTCTGTTATGATTATATTAAAAAAATATTCTTAATTCATTCTCTAATTTGAATGCGAAATTATCCCGGAATCCGAGTTTTATTTTCGATTCTAAAATATTATATGTACTCAAAAGGGAACTGAGAGATAGAAGAGAAGGTGTAAAGCCTTTAGAAATAAATTGATATCTGCAACTTAAAAGAAAGAAAATCAATCTATAGATTGGATTTGGTTTTAACACGTATATTTCATTGATTAAAAGTCTTATAGTGTTATTTATTATACATGATCTATACTTTCATATACCCGAGAAGTTATTAAAGATGAGAAAAAGCGATTCTTGGATTTTTGTGAAATACTAGTACTCAAAGGGTTAACATTATGTGAAAGTTACGCGTTTCTGTGTGAAATAATGCTACGCTAAAAACATGTTACAAAAACATCTGCAAAGGTCTGTTGATATGTTACATAAAGTATACGAATGAACACAATTTTATGCAATGCTATATAAATATATGTATGTACATGCAACCTTAAGTATTTTCCTTTTAATTCATAAAACATAAGATTACCGAGTATGTAATTCTTTTGAAGCCCCCCCCCCCCTCTTGATTTTATTCGGAGACATTATTGCAACTATAGGCCTTTGAATTATAAATTCGTTATACAGTCAAATCTGGAACATTTGGTTATAATTACCATTAACATGATTACAGAATTCATATTCTATAATAGTAGATTTTTCATTACGCAAGATACTGAAATTTACATGTCTGAGAGAGAGAGAGAGAGAGAGAGATATCCCCTTTTAATCCTGATTATCCTATCCATTTACATAGACAAAAAATCAGTTCTATATCAGTTGTTTCCATTCTTTATTAAATATTTTCTGATTTCATAGTCCGTCATAGTCACTCTCTGTATATCTTTTCTGCTTAAGAAGTATTACACTAAGTGCACATGTATTGACCTGTCAATCAAAATCACCTGACGCTGTATGCATTGCAATAAAGTTGTTCGAAATGATTTTAATTAAGTATGATCTTTAAGAAAATCTGATGCAACAAATTTGAGAAATGAAAATAAAATAAAAACATGGATAGAGCATCATATATCTGTATTATGGACTTCAGTTGTGGGACGTGGAGACCGGTCCGTCAGATGAGATCGTTTAAATCGAGGTCCCGTGTGTCAGATGGTACTGACTCAAAAAGATTCCTCAATGCTCAATGGCGATTAGAGCCAAATTATAGGACAACATTTTGCAGTCTCCACCGGCGAGTGGAGGCTTCTCCATGTGAAAAATTCTCGAGAGGGACATTAAACAACATATAATCAATTAATCGATTGCTGAATAATTCCTGTAGTTGAATAATCTTTCTGCTGACAAATCTCGATAGTATTACTGTAAAAAAATCAACGACTTTACGTTTAATGTGGTACTAACTTAGTTCATGACATTTTTATAACACCATCAGAATTGTGCCAGAACATAAACACAGTGAAGTTTATGAGAGTACGGTTTTCGTTCGTCCGTTGGTTTGTCTATGATACACGTGTAGCTCTTATGAGTGCCAAAATGCAGAAGAACAAGTTTGGTCAGGAAAATCAGAGTACCTTAAGTACTGAAAGACCTTTTTGCAGTTTTTTTTCTTTCAGAGTACATATGATATCTATGTTTTTTGCAGAGAAAAAAGCAAACTCTTACAGATTTAGAAGAACGGAAGACTTATTTGTTGCCACAGCAACAAGATTCTAGTTCTTTTATTATTTTTTTTATAACAGAAATTTAAAATTTGAGAGACACGAAATCAACATTTTCAGGATCTGCAAATCTAAAATTTGGTTGAGGTACCATAAATCAATCAAATTATTTGGCTTATAGTCTCTTTTCAGTCTTATTATGTACATTGTAAACATCTTACTATTGGCCCTTCAGTTGAACGTTAATTATAAAATGCAATAAGTCGATGAAAAGAGCAACAACAAGCACACACAAGTTAATTCTACGAAATTTTACACTGCTACATGATTATTTGAACTTACCATGTCTATTAATCAAAGGCAAATTATTGGTTTTCTGTGCCAGTTCAAACGATTCCAGCATATTGGTATTTTTATAGCATATGTGCAAATAAATTTGCATTTCTATAGAAATTTCTTTTAAAAAATAAAAGGACCTGCCGTTTAAAAACAAATACCTCGAATAGTCTAAACGATATACTATATGTGATTAATTTTTCAGGTTTTAAGTCCCAGTAAGTTCAACTGATTTTCTAAACTTCATTGAAATTAAACAAAAGATTTATCAACGGGAAATATAATACATGTATATGAAATTGGGTGAGTGCGACATAAAATGCAAAGAGAATCATTAAATCCACAGAGCATTGCTGAAGTAACAATATTCCGATACTATTCGTATGTTCTAAATGCCACAATTTTTCACGAGAATAAACAATATGGGTATAGTACAATAATATAGTAACTACCGGGTATGATAAATTAAACTGGTTTTAAATAATATGCTTAACTAATATAGGCTACAATGTACACTAATACAACTGCTGTCCATCTTTAAAAAAAAAACAGTTGAAAAGGTGGACCCCGACCAGTTTGGGGTCGGGGTAAGTCGGGGTAGAAACCCACAATCACACCCACACACCATTGGCGTCGGAAGCAAATTAAATGTTTTTTAGACCTCCAAAAAAAAAAAAACCTGACAAGCAGAAAAAAGAAAAGGAAATGTTCATTGTCGAAACACGAAAATCCTATTTCGTGGGAGGGGGGGGGTATAGGTTCGAACTTCAGTACCAAATTTTTTTCCGCATTTACGACTTCCCCGATTTTAAAACCTATACTGCAACGCGTCTGTGGAAAGTGAGGGTAGGGGGGGGGGGCTAAACCTACGCAGCAATGTTCAATGTCTATAGGCTAATAAGGGGGGTTAAGCCTCCTTCCCCCCCCCCCCCCAGCCCCACCCGGTTCCGACGCCTATGCACACTTACAAAAATGATCTGTTAATTTTGCAAATGGAATACATGGAGATAACGAATAGTATTCCACCTCAAAAGTCCATCAAACAATAAATTCAAATGTACATGAAAATTTTTTTGACACAAAAGGGGGGGGGGGTTGGCAGTGTGGATGGCGCTAGGGCTTTCATAATTCATTTTTCCACTTGTGTATTTCCTGGGACAGGATCATTCCTTGGGTACTGATTGTTTTGACAACTGTGAAATATGAAAACCTTAGCACCAAGCCATGGAGACGGAGGGACGCAGAGCGACTCATTTATGTTCGATTTATCCATCACTGACAACGCCACGCTCCATTTCCGTTTTAGACCTGGCACGTGCACGATGTAATGTTGCTTGCAAACACTACAAGATAATTCGCTAAAATGACCAAGAAAAAGGTAATTTTCGTTTTTTACCGATTGCACAATACTTTAATTTCATCCTTTAGTACTTTGTTACTGTCACTAACCCGACGAGTTAGTAACAGTAACTAATTTTTGCAATATTGCACACCCCAGTTGAACCATCCTCAAAATATTAGGTGTCCAGTGTCAACTCATTACCATGCCAGCCGTCGGGCTTTTGACAAATTTCATTTGATATCTTATGGGCTGACTGCAGCAAAATCATTTTAGAAATTTGAAAATCTTGATCATGTTGATTATTTTTCTATCTTCTATAAACCAATCACATTAAACGAGTAAACCTCTAAGTGTAAAGAATTTTTTATATTTTTTAAAGGTTTTATTGTTTTTTTTTAGAGTAAAGTAATTCGTTCCATGAAAGCTAAACAGAGCGAGGGACAAGAGGAAGACTACAGAAAAGCCCCACATTCTTTTGTGTTTCACAGAGGTCATGTCGGTAAAAATATTCTTCAACTTATCAAAGACATGCGCCATGTGATGGAGCCCTACACAGCCTCACGACTTCAGGTAATGAGATAAAGTAACAAGGGTAATTATGTAATAATTTTGTAACATTGGGTACTGATCAAAATAAAGTTACTAATATATTTTTACTTAAGGATTATCTTACATCAGGTAGTGAGATAAATTTACAAGTTAATGATATAAATTACTTAGCAAGTATCCAGATTTCATGATAGGAATAGCTTTTGACTAATTTGAGATATTGGTTGCACTCCATGGCCACAACTTTAAGTGGTAATTTAAGTTACAATAATTGTTTTTGTTGTTACATATAATTATTTTGTAGGTCAGAAAGAAGAATGTGTTAAAAGACTTTGTCAGTATAGCTGGTGATTTAGGAGTGTCACATTTTTTAATATATACAAAATCAGAGATAAATGTTCACCTTCGAGTGTGTCGATTATCAAGGGGACCAACATTAACTTTCAGAGTGAAAGAATACACACTGTGTAAAGATGTTGTGTCTTCCCTGAAAAAGCCAAATGTGGACCCCAAACAGTTCAATCACCATCCATTATTAGTGATGAACAATTTTAGTGGAGAAGAAATGCACCTGAAGTTGATGTCCACAATGTTTCAGAACATGTTCCCTTCAATAAACATTAACAAGGTAGGTTTATTTCTCATGAAGATATAAACATTTTAAAATTCACAATGTAGGAATTACCTATAATGAAATACGAGACTAGTAAACATTTAAAAGGTGTGGGTATCTTATGATAAAACATGAAGAAACATAAACAGGGTAGTATGTAAAAATAGATAAATGCTAACTCAAAGATAACTTAAGAATTGGAAGTCTTAGTTTACATAAATTTATCCCACTTAGTCTATAAAGTAAGAAATCATGAAAAATTAACAGATCTATAGGTATAAAGAATACATTTTGTTTTGTTTCAGGTAAATTTGAATAACATAAAGAGATGTGTGATGTTGAATTACAACAGTGAAGATAAAACAATTGACTTCAGACACTAGTAAGTTAAATTGATTAAATACTATCATTGCATTTGAGTTATCTTTTTTATACGCCCGTCTTAAGACGGGACGTATTATGTTATAGGCTTCGTGTCCGTCCGTCTGTCCGTCTGTTAGCTTTTTCGTTTCCAGCTCATAACTTTAATACTACTAGGCCTAGGATTATCAAACTTTGTCATCTGATGCATCTTGGGTAGAAGGTGTGTCGCGCACAAAAAGTAGGTCGCTCTGACCTTTAAGTAAGAAGTTATAGCCAAATATGGAAAAATCCTTTCCGGCCCATAACTAGAAAACTATAAGACTTACAATCATCAAACTTGGCCAGTTTATGCATCTTAGATAGAAGGTGTGTCGCGACCTATTTCAAGGTCACTGTGACCTTTAATTTAAGTGAAATTTTTTAAAAAATGTGTCTTTTTACTATTCATTTACACATCCCAAATAATGTAAGAGTATTGCACTGTCCCTATTAAAAAAGTGTTAAATCAAGAAAATACTTATTTTTTTAAGCATATACTTGACAGCAATCTATAACAGATATAATGTATGTTAGAGAAATTCTACCTCTCCCATGAGTGTAATTATCAATCACTGGTCAAGAAGAATTTTGATAACAGAAAATTGCATGTCAAATTAGAGAAATTAATGGGTTTTGAGTGTGAGGAGCTAATTAACTGACAGGGCATTGGTGTTATCTGTATCCCTTGAGTATTGGGCAAATGGGTAAGCCTGTTTGATTAAAAATAGCTCTTGTTGGCTAGCTTAAGTTTTAAAATGAATTGGATGAAAAGTAATTAAAACTAATTTGATTTTGCATAATAGACTACAGTCAATTCTCGAATTATCGCCATTCGATTCATCGCCATTTTCGCAATACCGCCATGATTTCCCAAGAACGTTTTTCCTGCTATATAAAATTCTCTTTATAACGCCAAATTCGCATACCGCCATCCGCCACCCTGTTTTCAAAACAAACGTCCATTTTTAAGTGTCAATTATCTCGATAAACCGCCACAGGTGCGTGCGGTCAGTGAAGCGCGGCTAATTGGTTGACACTATCCCTGTTGTAAAGCATGCAATGCCAGACAAGGTACACGCAATTAAATAATTAAGTTAGAATTAAATGAACAAATAATTTTAATATGAATTGTTACAATGATTTTGTTCTGTTGTTTTGTTTAAAAAATCATTTAGTCACGGCATCGCCACGAAAGCGGTAGTTGTGAAAGTACACCGAATACAATATTATTTTGATGATCTCTGCTTTAAACAATGCAAAGTTTGCTTTAAAATGATTATACGGTATAAATTGTGAACGTTTCACGAACAATGATGCCATAAACAATAAATTTATTCAAGAAACTATTTTACGTACTGTCAGCAATATACATGTATCATGACGATCGACCCAGCATGTTTTTTTTCAATATCAGACGTGCCGATTTACATGTACATAAATGCACATGTACATGTCTTTATTTCATAACTGCACAATTTGTTTAAAAGAAATTGTACATAAAAAAATACTTGAAGTATTTTTAAAATTTAGAAATATGTTTTGTATACATGTACATGTAATTATAAGAATAGAAACGCTTTATGGTATTTCTAAGAACGGTAACTCTACTTCTTGTTTCCTAAAATATGTGAAATTCAAATCATCGCCAAATTCGTTATACCGCCATGATTTCTAAATTACAAAAGGTGGCGGTTTATCGAGAATTAACTGTAATTTGATATGTAATATTATTAATTTAAAAACTAATTTTATGGGGTGGGGTGGAATCAGCATGTCCATATAAATTATATTAAAACCTGTTGGACATTAAATCTGAACCAAAAATAAAATATTTGAGTATTTTATGTTTTCAAAAAAAATTATGGTAGATAGTGCAGACCCATTCATCTCTTGGTAGTAATGAGTAGACAAGCATCCAGTTAAGATTAATTAATGAGTTCAATGTAGGAAGGCTATCTGATAAAGCAGTCTTATCTGTACCCTTAGGGGATTAGACAGAAGAACTGCTGGTCAGTTTATAACGTCATTTGATGGCCAGCCTTTTCTTTTCAAAATTAATTTGGTATAGATTAAGTTGTTAAGACTAATTTGATATTGTTTAATATGATGGGCATTTGACAAGGTCTAACACAACCAGCACAGAAATCTATCAGTGATGTAATATTTATTATAATTTATGCCTACATCACAGGGGATGCATAAATATTTTAAGGAATGGAAAAATCATTGAAATATTAGAACCAAGGTTGATGTGATTTTCTTGCACCTAAACTGTTCAAGAAAATTTTAAGTTTTTGACGGGCGTATCATGCTGTGGCGCGGCACTTTATTTTTAATCAAGTATAACCAAATACATTTTTGATATACTGATATTCGTTTTTTTCAAATTTCACACAAAAAAGTAATGTAGAGTGTATGTATTAATGGTAATGCCTAGGTCACATTTAAGCTGATGGTCGGGCGATTAAATTTTCTGGTTTTGTCGGCTGAAAGAACATGATCGGCCGAAACAAGTATCGGGCGACAAGGAGCAGTCACATTAATTCCCAGAAACACTGATGACTTGGATAAATAAAATAAAAAATATTTTTTCATAGATCTATATTCAAATAGGTGACGTGAGTAATGTTTGCAAGGCAAAGCGGCAGAATTTTATAAGATTGCGACTCAATGTTTAAATGTTTGCACAATTTTGTAAAGAATTGCATAAAAACAACATATCTAAGCAGCAAATAACACTTTTAAAAGATTTTTTATATCTTACGGATTAATTATTTATGTTATTTCCGTTCAAAAAATATATATCAATCCATGCATCAAAATTTTGTTTGTGTTATGCATCCTTAATAGGTAAAATATTCACAAGTCGACCAGTCGTCGCCCGATCATGGAGCTATGAGCTACAGTTTGATTTTAACCATCGGCCGAAAATTTGAACACCTTTATTGTCGAACGACGGACGACTGACTTAATAAAGTGACTGCCGATAGTCGGACGACGAACGAAGGTTGGTCGACAGATAACTTCAATTGAAGAAATCGGCCACCTATGCAGAAAAAATGATAACTTGGACTGATGGACAAAAAATTGGTCGGCCGACAAAAAAAGAGGTCAAAATCGGTCAAGACAACGCCGATGAACTGCCGACTGTCACCCGAAGAATCCCATTTTTGCTTCAAAACCCGTCGGCCGTTGGTCGTTTTTGGAAATGTGACTGGGGTTTAACCCTTATTCTTTTAATTTATGGGGTTGGGTATACAGTAAAACAAGCTTATAATAATGTTCCAGGGACATACATTTTGCTACTCTAAGCCTATAAGTGTAATTCATTACATCCATTATGTTTACAGTATATTTTAAACTCAAGGGGAATGAAAATCTTTGCTGTGAGCATCATTTATTATAAGCATGTTCGCTTTGAAGTGTGTTTTACTGTATTTGACCAAATGTTTTATAGGAAACAAGTATATATTAAAACAAGTACACAGTAACTAAAACAAGTACAAATTATGCTGAAAGTAGTACATACACTAGAGAAAAGGTAATGCTAGAAGAATATTGTCTCTGCTTATTACATGTATTTTTAAAATAATTGAGATGTTGATAGGGAGTATATGCTTTTATAGAATGTTGAATTTCATCATCAGTTGACTATTTCAGTAATGTGAAGGTTGTACCAGTGGGGCTCAGTAAAGGGGTCAAGAAGTTAATTAAAGCAGAAGTTCCCGACCTTAGTCGCTACAATGATGTCTGTGATTTTATAACAAAGTAAGCAGAAACAGTACTTGCGTATAGTTTTTACTGATACTTATAAATCTGTTCTTTTAGTTCAGATACTAATTTCTAATGACTCTTTTGTTCATGATCATGCAAAGGAGGGTTTGTCCTGTGGTTTACATGTACTTTACAAGCTGGAACATTGTTTAATGTGTTAGAATTCATTTATTCATTTGTTTATATCATTATATGTTTGTTCAATATCCTTTTTGAGAATTTTCACTCATATTGACTAATATCACAGCACTTGCCAGTAGAAGGCTGCAAATTTAGACCTATAATTAGCACTCATGGCTATTAAGAAATGAGGAATCATTTTTTTTTATGCCAGCACATACTGTGATATAGGACCCCAGTAAAAAGTCTGATCTTATCAGTTATGAATCTGTCTCCTCATCCTGCAGTGGGATTCTTTCTTGCAATATATAAGGATCAACTCCTTACTGTGTAACTCTAAAAAAATGCAATAACCACTACACCATGCAGGTAACATATATATATATTAAGTTAAAGTGTAGATAAACTGCTTGGGATTGAACTTGATACCTCTGGCATGCCATGTTCTAATGTTTGAAAGGTTATTCCACTAGCTCAAGGTTTATATGAAGGCCTGTATCACACACTTTTGTCTTGACACCCTCCAGAAAAAGAGATTAATTTCTACTGGAGTGCCCTCTGTTATGATCCAAAACTTTTGGAGCAATTACTTTCACCCACCAGAAAATACATCGGTCCCCTAATATGGGCATAAAATCTAACATAAATGTGTATGGTCTCCACTTGGAATTGAATGTCGAACCACTAGCATGCCAGTTCAGTGCTCTACAAATATAGCTACATATGTAAATGGTTAACCCACAAGCAAATGCTTGTATAGCACACACTAAGAACTACATTTTGGCTGGCAAGTAATAAAAAATATTTTATTGAAGGACTTGTATAATTAAAGGATCGTAAAATACTGTAAACCAACTATTATTCGCGACGACTTTATTTCGCGATTTACCAGGGATAAATTGGTTCGCGACGATTAATTTTCGCGATCATGCCTTTTTGGATTTGTTTTAATAGACACATACACTTAAATGACCGGTTCGCGGCGAGAAATATTCGCGATGACGAGGCTCTCGGGAACTTCGCGAAAATTTCTCGCACGTGAATAAAAGTTGGTTTACAGTATGTTATATATCTTAGAATATGTTTTATAGACATGGAATAGGCTCTTAATACATGTACATTGTGTATTTAAAGGGGAGGTAACCTGTCAGAGAGTGAAGCAGAACTAGATGGAGAACATAATGAAGTGGTCTTACCGCAAGACATCAGAAGTAGGGGCAACATTAAAGCTGCTAAAAGTGCCATCAGGTAAATATTTTAGTGATACAACCTTATAGTAGGGACAACATCAAAGCTGCTAAAAGTACCATCTGGTAAATATCTATTGATACAACCCTAAAGTAGGGGCAACATCAAAGCTGCTAAAAGTGCCATCAGGTAAATGTTTTAGTGATACATTTTGTACAACCCTAAAGTAGGGGCAGCATCAAAGCTGCTGAAAGTGCCATCAGGTAAATATTTTAGTGATACATTTTGTACAACCCTAAAGTAGGGGCAACATCAAAGCTGCTAAAAGTACCATCTGGTAAATATCTAATGGTATAATTCCCAAAAAGTAAGGTCAGCTTTATAAGGATTCATAGAGTGTCATCTGGTGTAACTTCTAGTTGTACAAGTCTAAAAAAGTACAACAAGCTTTTAAGAGAGTTGTCATGTACACCAAAACACACTTAGAGCAAAGCAAAACTGTCAGTCCAAGCATTTCATTATAAGCATGTTTTACCATAAATTTCAAGTGGATTTCTTAGATTTGTCAGGGTGCATTTAGTAATACCAAAACCTGTGTATGTACATAAAATATTGGGAAGTTCATCTAGAAAAGTTATAACTGTGACAGAGTCATTATGATGAAAGCTTACTTCCATGACTCTGAAGCATGTGAAGAAACTTGTTACACACTCTGAATGAGCTATGTCACAGCAAAGTAAGAATTATGTAAATAAATAAAAAAAAAATACAGACATATATTTTAAAGAATTCTAAATTGGTTGAATTAGACAGTAGACATAGAAAGGAAAATAATCTTATTTTACATACTTGCTCTACTTTTATATATTTCTAACATGATAAAGAGGATTTGAGCCTTCATCAGATTATATTAATATAAATATGCATAATTACTTGCAATTTTAAAAGAATTAATAAAGATAACAAAAAACGAGAATGTTTCAAATAACACTATTTTTATCCTTTGGCTGTGCTGATATGATATTTACTTGAGTTATTGCCCTTTGTTCTGAGCCAAATTTACACATTTTAACAATAAAATTTAAAGAAGATTGGGAAATATTGATGTTTTAAAGACATTCTTAACAATAATTATTGTATAAAATGTATATGTTCATATTCTTTATTTTATACTTCGCTAATGTTTAACAGAAAAGTGAAAAATAATGGGGGGGGTATATTAATTTATTCTGATATGATATATATTTTATCAGTTATATTCTCTGGATAATTTCTCACTGACTTAAAATTTAATTTTTACCACTGATAAATATTTGTGGCAAAATTAATTAAAAATGACTGATACTGTCTGACTTAGGTCACCATGATGACAACTTACTTACATGGCTCTGAATTATGTTACACACACTGAGTGACCTTTATTTTTTAAAGCCATGAAATAACACAAGAAATAAACATTATCAATATATGAAAAAAAAGTTTGTATTAAATTGTCACTCATGCAACAGTATGTTCAGTAATCAGATATTGATTTAATGGCTATATCTATAGACACACAGGTTCATTTTGGACATTCTCCGCTGACAAGCAACATGGACAGTTTCAAATGTGTATTAATACAAGGTGCCTTAATTTTAAAAATATGATTCAAATGTTCTTATATTGTACATGGTCTGCATCTGAATATATATGAACAAGTTATAGAACATATTAACTTCCCTTTGTTATTATAGTTGGACATATTTCCCAAGATCATGGTGATGAAAACATACTTCCATGGCTCTGAATACAAAAAATGAAGAACCATGTTACACACACTGAATGATCTGTTTTTCATCTGAAATTAAAATGACATCCATAAGAAAAATCCAAACTTTTTGTGAAGCTATAATGAAAATAACAAATGCCCATGGTATTCACTTTGGTGAGAGATGAAGAGAATACACTGTATTAAAGGAATTTAGCTTTCAGTTCTTATGATTTATCATACCACCAAACTGTAGTATGTGTCTTTTTTGAGTAATCTGTGTCTCGGAACAAAACTCTTACATCAGTTATAATATGTCCCCTATAGTTTAGTATAGCAAATAAGAGCCCACTTTTTTCTGGCATGATCTTAAGATTACTAATTAAAAGAGTACAGATGTTGCACGAAAAAAACCAAAAACAAAAAAACTATCAAATTAGTAGATGGAACTAGTTAAATGTTTTATATTTCAAACATCAGTTTAAAAATCAAAACTAACAATTGAAAGAGTTCAAAGGAAATAGAACCTGTATAAATTTTATAGAAATTAAAACAAATGAGTTTTCACATGACACGTTAGATGTAAAATAATACTATAACTACCCTGGTATATACTATGTAGGATATTCCATGTCACTGTGATGAAATCTTACTTCCATGGCTCTGATGAGGTGAAGAAGCGTGTTACACACTCAGAGTGACTTCATGTATAAACTAAGAAAATTGGAAACACTTAATTTATTGAATCATACTACTTGTACTAACAAGAAATCAAATGTTTCATTTATGTCACTTTATCCTGAAACAATTATTTCTAAAAGTAAATATTTTGGAATTGTGATATGATTTGTAATAATTTATCTCATCATATATTTACCACTATGTTAACATGGGTAATTTTTAATTTATGAATGACATGATTACAGTAAAAATCAAATTGCATTGAAAGTATTACATATTGAGCAATTCTATTCCCCTATCAACAAATGCAGCTGTTTCCTTTTAAAAGAAATCAAAAACTCAATTTATGAAAACTCAAGCAGAATGATACAAAACATGATTTGTAACTCTTTTAAAATGAATATGGAATTTTATTACATTTTTACCTGTGAAAAACTGTAATTTATTCATTGAATAAAAATGATATCCTGTCACAGTGTGACGAATATCAGAAGTGCGGGAAAACTCGAGATTTCCCTTCCCATAACAAAGATTGCTCTTAAAAAAAAACTTCCTTAACCTAATATAAGATAGATGGAAATAAATAAACCGTTCTGACCGCAAATAAAATCGTCAAAATTAGCAAAAATATGTTGCTAAATCCATGTTTACAGTGTTTTTACCTCACTTAGATATGACGTCTCAACCGCTCAACTATGACATCACGAGTCTATGACTGTATTACAAAAAGACAGAGGCAAAGGAAAAATTAAAGAATATTTTTTAAAAATGTAATAAACAGAAAATTCTATATTTTATAGTTGAATATGGAATTTATTTCACTCGTGAGACAGGATTTTTTGATATTTTCACTCGTGCTTCGCACTCGTAAAAATATAAAAAAATCCTGTCCCACTTGTGAAATAAATACCATATTCAACTACAAAACATTGAATATCCTCTATGAATACCTAAAATTAACTCAATATCTGCTAGAGTGTAGCAAAAAATGTAACAGACAGACAAACAAACAGGTAGAAAAGGAGAAAACCTTAAGTTCCCCTAGGTTTAACCTTTATGGTCTGTATTGGACTAATAAAACTATGTACACCATTTCCAGATCATTGTGATGAGACCTTACTTCCATGGCTCGGAAATAAATGAAGAGACATGTTACACACTCTGAATGATCTTTCTTAGGCACCTGGTTTAAAATTTTTTAATAAGGAAATGCCTTGGAGGTGTAGTGTGAATTTTGGCAGTAAAAAAGACAACACAAGTTTAATTAATTAATCAAATAGCAAATAGCACATCACAGCCATAGTCATATTATTTCTATATAATTTAAATTCAGTAATTAATTTTTCTGTTTATAAAAAGATTGACAGAGATTGGTCCCCGTATGACGTTACAGCTGCTGAAGATAGAGGATGGCGTGTGTCAGGGGGAAGTCATGTTCCACAAACTGGTCATCAAATCTGAAAAAGACCTCAAGGATCTAAAAGCTCTGAGGGATTCCAAGAGGTAGCTCCTTATTACTGTTTTGCTTTCATATAAGTATTTTTTGATCACATAAGAAGTGTTAGATAAACTGATGTAACACTCTCTCTACCCAAAATAAAAAAATTAAACATATACAAGTTGCGTGAACAACTTACTATATAAATGTTACATTTGGCTGTGAATTCATTTAAGTGCCTTTTGCGGAAAGCAGCCTTTGCTATATCAAGAACATTGCTAAATGTTTTGTGTATATAGGTTTATATAACGCACATTCACAAAGTGACAAATCAGATCTATGCAAATGTGTTGAAAAATCAATTTCCGTTAAATATTGTAAAGGCAAAATAAAATGCATTTACAGTATTTAAATTTTTTTTAGGAAGTTGAAAGAATTACGCAAGAAACAACAAGCTGAGAATGTCGAAAAGAAGAAACTTAAGACTGAGGAACACAAACAAAAATCTCTGGAGGGAATGAAGAGGAGGAGAGGGGAGGAGGATGTAGAGGAGTCAGAGCTGGGAGGTAAGTTTGCTTCAGTGGCACCTGATCCCACCCTGATTGTTTGCTCTGTGTCTGATTTGTACAGTTTTAATGGACTTCCAGTCTAATGTTTGTTATCTTCATATTTCATATTAAAAAAGCTGATGATGAGGAACAGCATAGCAAGACCATATTGACTTATGTGAGCATTGTGGCCCAATACCTTCTGTTGGTTTGCCTGTTCATTTCTATGTCTGTTTATCTGCAAAAACTTAAATTTGCCCATGATTACTAGGACAATGTTTAGCATGTTTATTACATATGATAAAATGTTTTCATGCATACTTACATTTTTTAGCTCTACTGGTCAGAGACCAGAAGAGCTTATGCGATAGCAATGCATTTGGCGTCCGTCTGTCTGTCTGTCCGTCCATCTGTAAACAATTTTTCAAAACGCTACTCCTTCTACAGTTTTGGTCTGATTTCAATATAGCTTGGCACACAAGTAGACTACACTAAGATACATAAAATAATGCATCGGATTTTGATTTCGATGAACGATGTTGTCGTGGTAACTAAAAATAGAATTTTCTGTGAAATTCCTTTAAAACGCTACTCCTCATACAGTTTTGGTCTGATTTCAATATAACTTGGCATACAAGTAGATTACACTAAGATACAGAAAATAGTGCATCGGTTTTTTAGCTCTACTGGTCAGAGACCAGAAGAGCTTATGTGATAGTAATGCGTCCGTCGTCCGTCCGTCTGTCTGTCGGTCTGTCCATCTGTCTGTAAACAATTTTTGAAAACGCTACTCCTCCTACAGTTTTGATCTGATTTTAATATAACTTGGCACACAAGTAGACTACACAAAGATACATAAAATAGTGCATCGGATTTTTATTTCGATGACTGGTGTTGCCATGGTTACTAAAAATAGAATTTTCTGTGAAATTCCTTTAACCCATTTTGCGCGGGGTACTACTGCAGTCGTAGTTCCCCATTTCGTACGGGATACAGCTACGATCGTAGTTTACATGCAGTGTAGTTCAGACGCTTAGAAAAATGGTTACTGACTACGTATGAATAAAGAATTGATATGAATCAGATCTTGGTAAATTTCCACTGGTCATGCGCATCTCAAAGTGAAACTAGATACTTATTTATGAGGTTAAAAATAGTACGAAACAAAAAAAAAAATGATGCGAGTTACAAACAAAACAAGATGGCGGCGAGAGATGTTGACTTGAGCGAGGGAAGCGATATAGACAGTGATTATGAAGACATAGGACATGGAATTGATGCAGATGATGATAATATTGATAGAATAGACCACGAAGTACGTTTGGGTGATGAAGATGACTGGGTCTTGAATATATTTGCCGAGAATTCGGGCGACGAAGAGGATTTCCTCGGATTCCAAAATCGGTGGGTCACAGAAAATTTCGAGTCACGTATACGACCACGTTACAGAAAAGTAGGTGGTGCTACTGTTGAGCACCCTGAAGAAGCATCAGCAGGCCAATATTTCCAGCTTTTATGGACTGATGAGATGTGGACCAGATTAGTAGAGGAAACAAATCGGTATGCAGAACAAGAGAGGATAAAAAATCCACCCCCACCATACGCAGCCAAATGGACACCTGTAGACGTTCAAGACATGAAGGCATTTATCGGCCTGTGTTTTGCTATGGGAATTCTAAGACTACCATCTAAAAATGATTACTGGAGGCAGGGTATTGGCTATTTACCACTTCATTTGGATGTGTCATGCCAAGGGACCGTTTCACCCAAATATGGAGATACCTGCATCTGCAGAACAATGAAGACCAACCACCCCAGCCTGACAAATTGTGGAAAATGCGATGGTATCTTACATTCCTAAATGACAAATTCAAAGAACTATACATTCCCTACGGAAATGTAACAATCGATGAAAGTATGGTGAAGTTCAAGGGTCGTTTGGGTTTTCGCCAGTACTTGCCAGCGAAACCCATCAAGTGGGGAATAAAAGTATGGACAATGGCCGAAAGTGAGACAGGCTACATGCAGAGTTTTCAAGTATACACTGGAAAAGAAAATCAACAGGAAAAGGGACTATCGCATAGAGTTGTCATGGACCTCTGTACCCCTATGTTTGGATCTAACCTCTCTGTGTACATGAATAACTTTTATACGGGCCCAGATCTTCTTAGGGACCTGCACATTCGTGGGATAATGGCATGTGGGACTGTTCGGGCCAACAGAAAAGGTCTTCCTAAAGACCTTCTTCCAAAACAAGTGCGACTGGAAAAACACGAGTACAGAGTCGCTCAAAATGATGTCCTTTCGTTCTCTGTTTGGCAGGACACAAAACCTGTGCTAGTCCTGTCAAACTTTCATGATCCACAGCACACTGGACGGGTGACGAGAAGGACGGCTGAGGACAACGTAGTAGAGGTTCCACTTCAACTTGCTGATTATCAGAAGTACATGAAGGGAGTGGACACTTGTGATCAAATGATTGGTTATTACATGCTGCATCATCGATCAAAGAAATGGTGGCGTCGACTTTTTTTCTACATGATGATGGTTTCGGCACACAACTCTTACATAATTGCCAAAGACACTCATCCCGAAATAACAAAGGATCGTTGCCCCAACTTTCAGGACTTCTTAGAGGAGATTGTGGAGGATTTAATCAGTGACACTCGATCTTCAAGAGAGCCACCCAAAGTTGATGTTGGAGGCAGGGCAACGGAGCATACAATCGTGAAACTATTCGAGAAAAACAAAGTGTGCCGTGAATGTTCTTTGGGAGGGGCACCAGGTCAAAGAAAAGGCGTTACAAAGTTTGGATGTACACAGTGTAATGTGCCAGTCCACTTAGAGTGCCAATCAAAGCACATTATGAGAATGATAAGACAGTAAACATGAAATCTGAGACTTCTACCATATTGGGACATTTATCAGTGATAAATATCATTTGAAATTCATAATTTTCAGGAAATTTTATTGATTTCATTTACCATTTCTTATCAATGCAAGACAACATAAGTTTGTCAGGATTTTAACCATTTTTATCATGGAATGTATACATTTTGAGAGGTATGGAAATTTATGAATAATTGAAATTTTCAACAAAATATGCAGGGATATTGAATCTCAAATATCTTTTGTTTTAAATGCTGCATTTTCTGTCTGAAAAGTCCATCTGAAAGAAGAAATATAGCTGAATACATGCATACAATATTTTTATATGGTTTACATTCACTTTTTATAAGAAAAACAGAATTTAATTAAAACTGTGTTAAATTTTCTGTTTGTTTTTACTCATTTCTTCAAGATAAATCTGCTTCTCAAGGTTGTAAAAGTCCATTGATTGGAAAAAAAATTATATCAATTTGTAGAGAAAAGTATCAGCTTTCAGTAAATGTATACTTTTACATGCACTGGAATAATCATTAAAGAGCCATTAGCATAATTATCAACATGCATCTTACTGCCGGGCTTATCTGGTCAGCAGGAGACTGACCTCTCGATACACTGATAACAGTGGCTGAGTTGGCTGCAGTGATAAATGGGTTAAAATGCTACTCCTCCTACAGTTTTGATCTGATTTCAATATAACTTGGTACACAAGTAGACTACACAAAGATACATAAAATATTGCATCGGTTTTTGATTTCGATGAACAGTGTTGCCATGGTTACTAAAAATAGAATTTTCTGTGAAATTCCTTTAAAACGATACTCCTCCTACAATTTTGATCTGATTTCAATATAACTTGGCACACAAGTAAACTACGCTAAGATACATAAAATATTGCATCGGATTTTTATTTTGATGACCGGTGTTGCCATGGTTACTAGAAATAGAATTTTCTGTGAAATTCCTTTAAAATGCTACTCCTCCTACAGTTTTGATCTGATTTCAATATAACTTGGCACACAAGTAGACTACACTAAGATACATAAAATAGTGCATCGGTTTTTGATTTCGATGAACAATGTTGCCATGGTTACTAAAAATAGAATTTCCTGTGAAATTCCTTTAAAATGCTACTCCTCCTACAGTTTTGATCTGATTTCGATATAACTTGGCACAAAAGTAGACTACACAAAGATACATAAAATAGTGCATCGGATTTTGATTTCGATGAACGATGTTGTCATGGTTACTAAAAATAGAATTTTTTGGTGAAATTCCTTTAAAACATTACTCCTCCTACAATTTTGATCTGATTTCAATATGACTTGGCACACAAGTAGACTACATAAAGATACATAAAATAGTGCATCCATTTTTGATTTCAACGAATGGTGTTGTCATGGTTAATAAAAATAGAATTTTCTGTGAAATTCCTTTAAAACTCTACTCCTCCTATAATTTTGATCTGATTTCAATATAACTTGGCACACAAGTAGTCTACACTATTATACATAGAATAGTGCATCAGATTTTGATTTCGATGAACGGTGTTGCCATGGTTACTAAAAAAAAATTCCTGTGAAATTCCTTTAAAACGCTACTCCTACAGTTTTGGTCTGATTGCAATATAACTTGGCACACAAGTAGACTACTCTAAGATATATAGAGTAGTTCATCGGTTTTTGATTTTGATGAAAGTGTTGCCATTGTTACTAAAAATAGAAATGTATGAAATTCCTTTAAAACGCTTCTCCTTCTACAGTTTTGGTCTAATAGCAATGGCTTCTTTTCTCATCCTTTGTTATAAGCACAAACCAGTAGAGCTATAGTCTCAACAGAGACTTCTGGTTATTTCAATGAACAGTGTTGCCATGGTTACTAAAAATAGAATTTTCTGTGAAATTCCTTTAAAACGTTACTCCTTCTACAGTTTTGGTCTTATTTCAATATAACTTGGCAAACAAGTAGACTACACTAATATACATAAAATAGTGTATCGGTTTTTGATTTCGATAAACGATGTTGCCATTGTTACTAAAAATAGAATTTTCTGAGAAATTCCTTTAAAATGTTACTTTTCCTCCAGTTTTGATCTGATTTCAATATAACTTGGCAAACAAGTAGATTACACT